GTTGGGACAAAGGTGGTGATTCCATGCCCATGTCTACTTTGTGCCCTGTGAAAACGTCTAAGATGACCATGAACGTATTTTTTTTTAAGGTGTATATCCTAAAGGACAAAGAGTACAGGGGAGGAGATGATAGTCACAGAAATTCGGAAGCTGGAACAAGGAAGGGCGAGCTCCAACTGACTTAGCACACCCAAGAAAGCAGAATCCTTTTTAAAAATTTTTTATTTATTATTATTATTATTATTTACAAATAGTTTATTGTCAAGTTGGTTTCCATATAACACCCAGTGCTCATCCCCACAAATGCCCTCCTCCATGCTCATCTCCCCCCCCCCCCCCCCCCCCCTCAGTCCTCAGTTTGTTCGCAGCATTCAAGAGTCTCTCATGGTTTGCCTCTCTCCCTTTCCCCCACCATTTCCCCCCTTCTTCTCCCCCATGGTCCTCCGTTTAGTTCCTCCTAATCCTCCTATACTTGCAAACATATGTTATTTGTCCTTCTCTGCCTGACTTATTTCTCTCAGCATAACTCCCTCAAGGTCCATCCATGTTGCTACACATGGCCAGATTTCATTCTTTCTCATTGCCATGTAGGATTCCATCGTATAGATAAACCACATCTTGATCCATTCGACCGTTGATGGACACTTAGGCTCCAAGAAAGCTGAATCCTAGCCCAGAGAAAGCCAGAGAGGGGCACGATTCACACCACCAAACTCCCTCAAAGTCCCCACGTGTGGGCACCAGCCATCAAGTGGAGATTAGCAGAGGAGGGTCAGTTTAAGAAGAGACTCAGAGGGGCGCCTGGGTGGCTCAGTCAGTTAAGCATCTGACTTTGGCTCAGGTCATGATCTTACAGTTCATGGGTTCGAGCCCCGCATCCGGCTCTGTGGCGACAGCTCAGAGCCTGGAGCCTGCTTTGAATTCTGTGTCTCCCTCTCTCTCTGACCCTCCCCTGCTCATGCTCTCTCTCAAAAGTAAACATTAAAAAAAAATTAAAAAAGAGAGAGAGAGAGAGAGAGAGGGAGAGGGAGAGAGAGAGAGAAAGGCTCAGAGCCCCCAGGGCATCTGCTCGGCCCCAGCCGCGGGGAAGCCCCTCCGCACCCAGGCAGGAGCCGGAAACGGCTCTGGGCTGGCGGCGCACGAGGTCCCGCCTCAGAAAACGGGGACGGACGCACGCCGTCCTGCACCGCTGTCCCGCTGGGAGGCCAGACCGCCGCTGGCCTGACGGTTCTCGCCGGCAAGAAGCTGGAGGCACCTTTCCCATGGAGTCTGACCGCAGGAGGAAGAAACACCCTAGAGAAATCCTCTTCCCCACACAAGAGCCGCCAGCGGGCACAGAGCGCAGCCCCAGGGGACACGCGCCCTCCGGGGGGCTGTCGGCGCCGCTCGAAAGTAGATCCCGCCAGCCGGAGGTCGCCGGCCTGTGACAGGAGCCTCGGACGCGGGCATAGAAGACCGAAGCACCCAAGAGAGGCGCAACCGGGAGGTATCGTCTCGGGTGGGGAGAGAAACCACAGCCCCGCCCACGGCCCCGATCACTGCCGCCCTCAGGAAACCCCGTGTAGACGCGACCCCGTAAAACCAGGACGGGATGTGCTCCAGTGCGCGTGCGCCGCGGTGCGTCCCCAGCCGCTGCGCACGCCCCCTTCTTTCCCGCCTGCGCGCCCTCGAGGTTGGGGTCTTCCCAGGCCCTCGTGTGTGTGGCTGGTTCCCACTGTCGCCCCAAAGGCCTGACGCAGGAGGAGCCGACTTTTCTAGAAAGGGCGAGGTATTCGGGCATCGCTGTGTACGGCCTCTGCCCTCCCACCTCTGCTCCAGGCGGTAGCGTGAGTGGCCGCGGACGGCGCGCCACAGAGGCTGAGGCTGGGCCGCAATCAATTCCTGTTTGCCCGCCGAACCTTGAATTGTGCAGATCGTTCTCACGGGTCACGAATGTTGTTCTCCTTTTGATTTTCTTTCAGCCATTTGAGACCTTAAACACCCTTCTTAGCTCCCCAGCTATCCACAACCAGGCGGCAGGCCAGATGCGTCCAGACCCAGTTCTAGTACATCATCCCGTTTTCTGGTCGTGAAAGCACTGGCCACTTCCTGCTATTTTCTCGTCTATTTGCCTCTCCAGGTTGCCAGGTTCTTCTCCGTCACCCCCCTCCCCCCGCACCCCCGCACCCCCGCCAGGCTGGAAGTTCCATGAGAACGCAGCCCCCGGCCCTCCGCCTGGCGTCCCCTGCACCTGGGAAAGGGCCTGGCACACCGCGTGTGCTCAAACGGGCCTGCAGCAGGCCGTGGTGACCGTGGCTGGGCCACGCACGCCCCGGGGGGAGCCAAGCACTGCTCAGCCTAAGGCCACCTGTCCTCTGAGCCCCCAGACCAAAGGATGCGGGAGCACCCCATGGACCCAGAGGCTGACGAGCAGGCCCTGCCAGCGAGGCGAGGCCACCCGCTTACCACCGGGAGGGCTTCGGGTGACCCCCGGGAGGAATGGCTGCACAGGCGGCTCACTTTTCAGCGTGCTGTAATGGGGCTCACGGTGACACAGAAGGAGCCATCTCTCACTAGTGTCCAGAGAAAAGGATTCCTTGGGAGAAGTCAGGTCCCCAAAGTGGAGACGGGTCACCAGACTCTCAACGTTGGTGCACACGTTCTTCAAAGCTCGCGCAACTCTCTGCCTGAACATATGCACAAGCCACCGTGTGCAAGCGGTCTGGGTTTCTGCTGAGGAAAGCCTGCGCCACAAGCAGACAAGCCTTCCCATGACCTGGGCGTGGGTGCTACTCCACGTGAACTAATGAAGTGGCACTCGGACCTATCAATCACGCTGTTCCGACTTCGGTCAGCAAGCCGGCCCTGTGAGTCTGCACACTCTCAGGTCAAGGGCTAAGGGCAGTTCCTAACATGCCAAGCCGGTAACCACAGCCAGCCTGCCCCTGCCTGAAGCTCTCGTTTTGACTACTTTTGAAATCCAGTGGGTTTTGCGCCCTTCTGTTGTTTATTAGGCGCCTACCACTCTGCTCGTAAACCTGTAGTGCTCCCAGAACGCCGCGCCAGAACTTCCTCACTTAGGCGTCGATTTACGTAACCCTGATGCCGGCCAGCGCCCTTGTGCTCTGCTAGCCCAGCGGCACAGGCTTGAACTTTACTCCGTTTGCAGGCACCCCCCAAGGGCTTTCTATTATCTGGGGAGGGACTGGCCTACGTGGCCCCTGAGTTCCTACTTCCACTGACACGGTTCAGTAGATGCCGCCTCTGTGACCCCAACCTGCGGCTGCTGCTGTTTTGGGGCTCTATTCACAGATAAAACTTTCAATTCCATAAAAAGAAATCACTCGCACACAGGCCTTTGTGTATATAGCACTTTACTGAAGATTTGGGGAGACAAAGGGGGGTTACATAGCAAAAATACAAAAAACAAACCCTTAAAGTTGAATATTAGACATCCATGAGCTTAAAAATAAAAAGACCTTTAGCCATTTCCACCCAGTGGGTTCCAGCCTTCTGCAAAGGGGCCGGACCACCTCACCCATCCTCTCTTGGGAAGTAAACAAATCCTAATTCCAGACAGTCTCTTTCTCAGAGCGGCTTAGCCCACCATTTGTTCCGTGCTCCCTTTCGAGACCCTTCCCTGGGGCCTCTTACCCCTCATGGGCCACAAAGTTATTTTCCTCAGTTAAGAACACTTCCTTCCCCGTTTCTGAGACCTGAGGAAGAGAATCTAAGCATGGTCTCTGTGCTGGACAGTTCCCACTAAGCTAAAGGCCCGCGGCCTTCTGATGGGCTCTGGGAGACGTGAGAGCAGAGTTTTTCCCCCCTAAAAGTGTGTGTGTGTGTGTGTGTGTGTGTCCCAGGTGGGAAGAGCAGTCGGGACAGGCTTTAATACCTAAGTTGGGACCATTCACGGAGTGCTCACCGTGAGCTAGGGACAGTGCTACTCCTTCACATATACCGTCACCTTTCTGCCAAGAGCAACCTCAAGTCAGAGCTATTTTATTCCCATTTCACAAATAGGGTTATGAAGGCTCTGAGAGGGGAAGCTATTTGCCCAAGACCGCATAACTTAGAAGCAGCCAATTTGGCCCTCGAGCAGCCTGGCTCACTAGGGTTTCAGTTCTTAAGAACAACTTATATACAGATTTAACTCTTTGGGGAAACACTTCTTGTTTTCATTTTTGGAGCTGACATAACAGACAATGTAAGAAAGGGTCAAACAAGTAGCCACTGGACATAACTGCCCCCGGGGAAAAGCACACTGCTGTGCCATCTCACATTCCCCCTCTGTGCGGCTCGGCCCAGGTGAGCACTGGTGAACCAGTGGAGCCCGCACCAGGCCCAACGCTGCTGCGGGCCATCAGGAGCTCCCTGCTGCCCCCACCCCTGCTTATATGAGATGCCTGCCCTTTCCTCTCCAGCCCTATTCTCACCCTGCCCACTGTCCTCTGAAGCCTTCAGCTGGGGAGAGGGTGCAAGTGATGGACTAAGCACATATAGTCTATGAGCGGCCTGACATGGCTGCCCCTTGATCCTTACTACACTGGCTTTAGTCCTGAAAGGGCAGACTTGGTGTCCCCATGCACACGCACGCACCCTAGGGTCCTTCTGTGTGAGTTTCTCTCATCAGGAAGATCATCCTGCTCTACGGAAGTTCACTGGAGGCCACTGAGGCAATCCGCTCAGTCACTGACAGACGCCATGAGACGGGCGGTCTGTTCCCACGTCCCTACCTCAGTGATGCTCTCTGCTAGCTCTAGATGTGTCGGGAGGGCAAAGGGGTCCGTCCTAGAGGGCTCAGGGCCCACACTCACTTCCCAGGCCCAAGCAGCAAGGATCACATTGCCTTGTATGTGTGCACTCTTTCAGCACGTGTTTACTGGGCACCTGCTATGTTCCAGACGTGATGTCTGGTTTACAGAAAGTAACAGACCAAGGAAGCTACAGTCTCCACCCACAGAAGCTGAGTCTAGGAGGACAGACAGACTCAGAAGCAGACAATTATATGTGCTTCTCTGTGGTCCACAGCAGCCCCAGCACTGATTTCTTAAAAAAAAAAAAAAAAAAAAAGACTAAAGATAAAAAAGATTTACTCCTTGTTTCAAACACTTCCAGGACCTCCCTTCACAAGGAGTAAAATCCAGAGTCCTCACCAAGCGAGGGGGTGTTGGGCTGCGGAGGGGGCTGGACCGCCCATCCCCCACCCCGGCCCCCACCCTAGTCTGGCCGGCTGTCACGGCAGGATCTAGCCCCCGCTGCCTCCTTACCTTAGCCCATGCAGCTCTCACTCTCTGTACCTGGCACACGCCTCCTCTCTCTGCACCTGCCCCGTTCCTGAACCTCCCCGCCTCTACTCAGAGTGCCTTCCCTCGCCTTCCCCGGGCCCAAGACGCTTCCCCAGTGACTCTCAGCACCCTTCACTGCCTTGAAAGCACTTGCCATGGTCTGCACCTCCTCTCATGTGCTCATTTTTGTTTTCCTCAATGAAATGTAAGCTCCCCAGGGACCTCATCTGTCTTCGCCAGTGATACGTTCCCAGTGCCTGGCACAGAGCAGAAGTTAAGTAAATATCTGTGAACTGAATGAATAAATGCATTAATACTCTTAGCAAGTTGGTTCACTTCTCTGTGCCCCTTTCCTCGTCTTTCAAAGGGGGACAGCACATTACCCACTAGGTGAGGATTAGAAGAGGTGACAGGATGCCCATGTTCTGGCAGCATGTCACAGGTGCCCCATGGGTCAGGAACGGAAGGCTTTTGCCACACAAGGGCAGGTGTGACTAACCCTTCTGCGTGAGCCGGAGTGCACACCGGCCCTTGAAGAATGATAACAGTTCTCTAGTGGGGAAGGGCGGGGCCTGACTGGCCAGGGGAACATTTGGTGCCAGGGCCGAAAGGCAGGGAAGGGCACCCGGCTCTGGGGTTGCAGGGGAGCGTCAGGGATGCCCAGCAGGAGAGGCGGGCCGGGTCAGGGCTCCCACTCGCCCCCACGGCCGCAGCGTGCACTGCACCAGGCAGGGGCAGGCATGTATAGCTGCATTCCCATGGCTGACTGGCCTGGAGCTTCCAGCTCTAAGTACGTGACTTTCCATTAAGCTACTGAGGGCAGTCTGTAAAGAAAAGGGAAAACGCACCGCCAACACCCGGCCCCCACATCTGCATGGACTCCTTGCCACCCGTAGCCCAAAAGATCATCTCCTTGACGTGTGCATTTGTGCCATGGCCAAGGGGCTGCTCACACGCTCTTCATGCGTATTCGCCTAGAGGTTCACAGTCAAGCTAGAAGTGTAGGCATCATGAGTGCCCTTCATCCAAACAGTCTGAGGGAAGAGGTGGGGGGAGAGGGCAAGGCTTGTGACAGTGACCAGGAGCGGGGTTGGGGGAGGGGGACGGCTTGCACAATCCCGCCCGTGGACACGTGAGACGCGTGTTCTGCTCAGACACCCCCGGCCCCCAGGCCCCACCTCCGCATCACATCTCCTGACACGAGCCTGGCCCCACACAGAGCAGTTATGTGACTTGCACGAGGTCCAGCAACAGTCGAGGCGGCTGCTTAAAGCTGCTTCTCAGTGAGAAGAGGCAGTCCTGACCTGTGAGGGGAGGAAACTGGAGAGCCGGCTTCTTTGCCCAGTTCGGGGCATGGCCAGCCTTCATCATATCTGCTTATCTAAACCCTTTAAGGGGCAGCCCCTCTCAATCGCAACCTCTCCCCTGGATCTGCCGCACCCTGCTCTCTCCTATCTCTGAATTCCAGTGTCTGTGAGGAGCAGCCAACCCCACTTGGTTTATCCAGTCTGACTTTTTAGACTGCGAGCTCCTGCTATAAATAATATTGAATACTTACCAAACACATTTATGTGCTCGGCACTATGCTAGGCACTCTACATATACGAGGTAGGTACTCTTATTATACCCATTTTACAGATGGGGAAACTGAGGCACGGCTAAATTAAGTAACTTGTCCCCCAAGGTCACACAGCTAGTCATTAGCTGAGTGCCGGGATTTCAATCCTAGCTGTTTGACTTGAGTCCTTGATCCTAACCACCATTCCATAACACCTCCCAAATGCTGTCTCTCTCACTTTTGTATTCCCACAATGTATCTCCCTGAGTGCTGGACACAAAGCAAACACCTGTAGGTTGAATCTTCTTCCCCTTCTCCAGGCTTTTGGAATTGTGGTTCCTGTTATGGATGATAACAAAGCGCCACTAGATGGCAGCAAAGAGCCAGGCCCAGGCCCCCCTGAGGGAAGGGAGGGATAACTAATTAATAACATTGAATTAGTGCATCTCGCACCAGGCACTTTATAGACATTAGCTCTCTTTCTCACAAGGCCTTCTAAGGTAGGTGCTATTACCTTCCCTTTTAGGGAGAGCAAAGGACACTAAGGTCCAGACAGCTGGAGACATTTGCCCAAGGTGACAGCTAGACATACCAAGACTGAAGCCAGGAACACCAAAACCTAAGCCCATGCAGTTCTCAAAAGAGATAAACTAGGGAACCCTTCACTGGTTCCCTCGAGGTCCAGAGTGGGCTTCACCTCCTCCTCCATCCACAGGGAGCACAGAAACTACTACTGTCTGAGGAGGGGGTGGACAGCCTGGGCCGGCTCCGAGGCAGGCACCACCCAGAGGCACCCCGGCTGGGGGTGGAGGGGAGCCCAGGGAGGACTCACAGAACATCAGAGCTGGGTGGTCTCAGAGACCACTGGTCCACTGCAGACCTCTGACCCGCTTTCTTGGCCTCTACCTCCCTCCCACTCCCCAAAGGATGCTGTGTGATAGCAGCCTCACCACCCAAAATCCGCAGGCTGGCTCCCACGCTGCCCCTCTCACCCTCCCTGTCTCAAGCTCCTGGGATCTGCAACAGATACTCCGAAGCAGCCGGCCTGACCATGGAATCCACACCCACTGGGGATGGACAGATGGAAACCATCTAGAGAGCTCGGGCTGTGTCCCCGCCCAAGCTTTCCAACAACCGTCACCTCCACGCCCCAAATCCAACCCCTGGGCTGGGCTGAGCTTCCCTGTTAACTGTGCTGGGGAAGGGGCAACAGAGGCGGCCGGGGCAGGGCGCCAAGTCCCCGCAAGTGCACACACGGGCATGCACAGAATGCAGAGTGCACGAGCCCACGCTCAGGCCTCCCAGGGTGGCCAGTGGCACAGCGCAGGGCTCAGCAGGAGCAGAGGACCAGCCTGTCTTGAGCTCCAGCATCTGGCGACGTTCCGGGCTGAGTCCACTGGGGATTTCTGGCACTGCTTCCCAGTCGGTTCCCCTTCTCCCACAGTCCCTCCCAGGGCTCATACAGCCAGATCAGGTCCTCTGAAAATACACACCATCTTGGGTTTATTTGGGATTGGGCATTGCAGGTTCAGGCACAGTTTGTTCCTGGATGGGAAGAGTCATGGCCTCTCAGCTCTCCTGGCACTTCAGGGGCCACCCCTGCAGATCCCCTCCCCACGTCCCTGCACACATGACGTCGCTTCCCCCCTCCCTGCTCCCTGAGTCTCTTATTCTTTCACCAGCCGGTAGATATGGTGCTGAGCCCCGTGCTCGCTGGCTGACACCTCAAAGACATATGCAACGCACAGCAAGGTCTCCTGCGTGTCTCTGTTGGTGACCACCTGCAGGTGATGAAAAAGATGAAAACAATGAGCCCCAAAGGAGGGCCCGCCATTTGCTGTGCCTACCGATCCGCTCCCGCCCCACACATGCGGGGGCCCCTGGCCCCTGCACCCACACACACCTGCAGGATGGTGAAGTTCTCCAGCACGCTGTTCATCATGTATTTCTCGGGCAGGTGCTTCAGCTTATGGATGAAATTGATCATGTACTCGCAGAGTGGGGACCGGTGAATGCGGTAAGAGTAGTGGCCATTCTCATAGCGGGCATACTCTGTCTGCAGGGCCCAGGGAGCAGCGGGGGCTTAGAATCTCTTCTGACCACTTCCAGCCCAGGCCCGACTCCACGGGGAAGCCCCATGACCCACTCACCCTCAGGCAGGAAGAAAAGGCAGGAGGCCTGGAAGCCCTTGAGAACACAGCCCCCCTCCTCCCTCAGTGACAGGCGGGCTGGGTATGGGAGGAAGGAACATGAGCGTAGTGGGCACTAGGCGCGAGGGGACACAGCGAGGACTCAGTCCTGTCCGCACACTACCACACGCTAATGTGCACGAAAACTGCGTGTAAACAGGTGCTGCCTGAATCGGATCGCTGGGCTGCATCAAGGTCCCTTTCCTGGTTGCCAATATTATGCTCTAGTTATGCAAGATGTTGCCCGATGAAGGGTACGTGGGGTTACAACTGCATTGCGTGTGGAACCATAATTATCTCAAAATAAAAATGTATTTAAAACTAACTGAAAAGCATTTTATAAACTACTGTTGCTGTGCAGTGGGGTTCAGGCACTGGTGTGCTTCCAAAGTCCCCGGATGACCAAAGGTGCCCCACTGTCTCTTTCCTGGTGCCAGCCCGGCATCTGACGGTGTTTGACACGAGACGGGCTGCTGATAGGTAACAGACAGGCTTAGGTATGAGGGGAAGAGCTCGCTGACTCACAAATCTGGGGAAGGAGGTGGGGACAGGGATGAAGGCTAAGCTGAAGCAGCGAGGGGCCTGGTTTAACAAGCACACGGGTGGGCTCCTACCTCCACTTTCTCTACCACCTGCTTGCCGAAAGAGCAGACCTTGGTGGAGCATGTGATTATCATGTTCTCCGGACTCTCGTACTGGCTGGAGACTCCATAGAAGGAGCTGCCTTCATCCTCGATGTTGGTGTTGAGGTCTGCCTGGAGGAAGACACAGGGAAGACAAGCAGTGGACAGGTGAGTCAGCAGGGGGCCCACTGGGGGTGGAGTCAGAAAGAACCCTGGGGCCACAGTCCAGGCTCTAGGGCCAGGAAGACATTAGGCCTAAAAAGAACTTGGACAGTAGCATCTTGGAAAGCTTCCACCTGTCTCCACATCCAGGCCTTGTGTAAGATCAGGTTGTGCTGTCTAAACAATGGGTAAAAGAGAACACTGGCACCTGGCTTAGTTTCAGGCCTCTGCTACCCATTCAGTTTCCAACACACCCAGCAGGTGGGGCCCCTGATTTTGTCTTTAGGACTTCAAGTCCTATAGTCTAAGGCTCTGCTCTTGCTAACTGCAAACATCTGAATCTATATCAGTCATTTCTATTTTAGTATGAATTTATCAGATCCTTTCCAGAGTCCATTCTGATGGTGAAGTAAGCGTGGGAACAGAAAGCCAGAATGGGAGACTGGCAGTGGGGAGAGTGGGAGAGGGTGCTGGTACATGGAGAAGCTGGGACTTGACTATGTGTCATCCTCCAGTCCAGCTGGTCACTGGCCCCTGCCAGTGCTCTTCTGGAAATGGCTCTGGGGGTTGGCCTCTCACCCACCTCTACAGTATTACTGAGTCCAGCCACCCCTGACCTTCTTATCTCTGTTTCAGCCTCCAGACTAATCCCAACAGCAGTCTTCTTCCCTCTGGTTCATTCTCTAAACTTCTCTGAGAGTTCTCTTCGGAAAACCAGTATGACTGCATCACCCCATGGTTAAAAGCCTCTCGCTGAGTCCCTTGCCGTAAGAACCATGGCTCGCTTCTCCAGCCTGGCTGGTGAGCCGCTGGTCCTCTAGGTCAGCTTCTTGCTATTCTCCAGCACACGGCTTTTCCTCTCCTACTCAGAGCAGAGCCTGAAGCACCTCCTGCTGGGTGTTGGGTTGACTGGAAATCTGCCTCTTAGAAAAAGTGGAGTAAGACTCCTGATTTCACTCACATTCTCTGCCAAGACAGACAGAGCGGGATCCTGCCTCGGTTTGATCAGTGAGGCTCCCTGGCCACAGGCCCCACCCAACACCACAGAGTGGACAAGCGATGGATCCCGGGTCTTCAGGCTCCAACTCCAGTGTTTACCCAAATCTGGCCGAGTTACAGGACAGGGAAGGGAGACACTGGATTAGGGAATTCAGTGCCTTAGCTGTATTTCGGAAGCCCTAAACCATGTAGGGGTCCCCATCCCCAGAACTCAGGCCCCACACCGAATCACCCCATCTGAACCAGGGGTGCAAACAGAGCCACTTAGGACCCAGGACAAATGCACAGATTTCAAAAGGCTCATTCTGAAGGTGGAGCCTCTCGCCCCTGCCAACACACTAACTGATCTTTAATCGCTGGACCCAGAGTGAGCCCCGCAGAGGCAGTAGAAGCTCTCGACCTAGTTAAAGATCATGACACCAAGGGCTCTTCTGCACAAAACAAGGGATCCCCAGAACCCCGGGAAAGTTCTGGCACCATCCAGAGCCAGGCAAGGCAGTTCTGTTACTGGCCATTAGGGGGTGCTCAGTCATTATTTTTCTCTCCTTTGGGGAAAGAAATTTTCCAAGAACATTGTCTAGACCGGTGGGGGGTGTTAAATGTCTTATGGCACAATAGAAATATTATGTAGCCACAAAAATGTTGAGAAGAACCTGTATTTACTATTGTGAGTTGACTACAATAACTGTTAAGTGAAAAAAAAAATACAGGTTATGGAACAGAATGAGGATGTGTTCCTTTTCTGATGAGAAAAAGAAAAAGGGTGTTTTCATATTGAATAGAATGCATGTGTTTAGTGTAGTCTGCGATGGTTTTAATGAGGCCACTGGGAAGACAGGAGGAAAGAAAAGGAATTACAGTACATTCAAGTCAATGCTCAGCCTCTGAAATAAACAGCAATGTTGTAAACACCCCCATCCCGACCCCAGGGCTGGCCTGTCTCCCTCCTCTGCGGTGGGGACGGAGCCTGGCAAACAGAGGGCGCCCCCGAGTCCTGGCCGGGGTGGAACCGGCCGGTGGGCTGCAAACAAAGGGCAGCTGGGACCGGCCCAAGGCTTTACAGTTAAGTATAAGGTGAACTGTGAACCAAAATCCAGCTCTCTGTCTATTTTCCCCCTAGGTCACATGCTCCTCCTGGGAGACCAAGTTTGCCAGACTTCTTTAAAAAGGAACAGTTTGCTCAAAGTATGCTGCACTTACTTAGCGTGGGGCAGAAGCGTGAGAAAGAGCTGGCAGGAAGCCCGGCTGCCCGGGAAGGTCGGGCACCTGAACACGGGAGGGCGGGTGCCGGCCAAGCGGCAAGGCCAGGGCACAAGATAGCATCTCTCAGACTGCAGCCCCTGCCGGCCTCGGCCTCCTCTTGATTCTCCTGATTAACGGCGTACGTGTGCACCACCTACCCCGAGGCTCTACCATGCCCCTACTGGTTTCCCTTAAATCGACTCATTCCCTAACTCCATGCTAAGCAATAATACCGATGAAATCGGTCAGGGACTCTTTCTTCTGATATATGTGATAACAACTGCATAACTACTAGAGAAGACATATTCACTCACACGTCACCTAAAAGAATGCTGTGCACCAGGGCTGGGCGGGAGTGACCCAGTCCCTCCAGGGTCCTCCCAGCGCACAAAGGCCATGGCCGTCTAGCACCCCCGCAGTGCCCTGGATGTGCCCTGCCCGTCATCACCTTCGTGCTGTTCGGATGGCCCCTTCCAGATGGTAGGCACCCTGCCAGCAAGGACTGAGCTCCCCCAGGGTGTGGACCATACCTGGTGTGAAGTGTGCTCCCAACAAAGGCTGCCTGTGGCTCTTCAACCTCTCACCTTTTGGTGGCACTGAGCAGGGAGAGAGGTGAGTCCTGCACCGTACCCTCCCACCCCTGCCGCTCACCAACCTCCCCCTGCGACCTCCACACCCGGCCCCGCCTCCCACTCACCTGGCCCTTGGTCACCCACTTTATCCTGCCCCTGCCCAGCACGGCCAGGGGAGTGGGGCTCAAAGAGGCTGAGACACTGTCTCTGCTGTCAAGGAATTCAAAACTAGTAGGACAGCAGGTAGGATAAGTGTGATGGTGTTTTGAGTGGTACAGAGGGGAGAGAGGGAGGTAGTGGGAGAGAAACATCCTGCCAATGAGCATCTGAAGTCTGCCCCAGCACCTGCCCTGATTATGCTGGAGATCCTGGAGGGGCAGCCGGGGACACAGATGACCCACCCTCAGCACCCCATCTTGTCCTCAGTGCCCCATTTCTCCTAGTTACCCCACCCCCTCCTACAGCCACACTTCAGGCACTTCCTGTCCACCCTTACATCCCCCTTATTCTAACAAGCGTGGCTTATCTTTCTCGGCCTAAGAGGAAGGCTGCCCCCCCTCACCCTCCTGCCCTCTGCATGCCCCCATGCTCCCCTCCCTCCACCCTATTCATAGCTGTGGTGAGGGTGGGCAGCCCAGGCGGGGCCTGGGACAGGTGTGGGGGATCGGGTGACTGACATATGAGCTGAGACAGCCGCAGCCCCGGAGTGGGGGCCGGAGGGGCTCAGATTCATTGTCATGTGTTGGTATGTGCCTAGGAGAAATGTCAGGACCCAGAGGGAGCAGCAGGCTGGGATGGGCCTGGTCTGGGGTACTCTCCTCCCTCCAAGGCCTCAGCTCACCTCTGCCCAGCACGTTCAATTTACGGACTGGTGTTAACAGCCATCAGTGTCTAAGAGTCCCCTCTCCCCCGCCCCAAGGACAGAGGTGGCCTCTGCTGGTCTCAAGTGTGGTGGGGAAGGAGGGAGGGATTCAGCTTCTCAGTCCCTGCTCTAGACCCTGCATGTCACATCCAACAGAGAGCAGCCTCACAACTCAACCCCTCCGCCTACACCCAGATGCCAGCTCCACTGGGAAGGATTGGTCCCGGTGGCCGTGAGCCTAGGAACTACTACCACAACGCCATCCAAGCACAGCGACGACTTTCCCCAGGAGGGGGCCAGGAGGCCGGGTTGGGGGGACCAAAGTCCTCCTCCAAGCGGACCCTGGTCACCCCTCCCCGCCTCAGCACGGTCAAGGCCTGGGCTGGACCAGAACACTGCCAGGCTGGAAGAACGGCTCTGGGGGAGGGGCTTTGTGTCCTTGTCTGCTCAGCTGTCCTAACTGTGTGTGGTTGGTCTCACAGCCGCTCACAGCAGAGGAGGGAGTGGACGGCCCAGGGCGCGAGGGAAGAGAGTTCCAGAGCTGGCTGTGAGGACCCCAGGGCTGACCCAAAGTCTCATGGTTAACAAACAGGAGCATTTCTTTCTCCCCCATCACAGATCTGTACTCCCCTGGTGGCTCTGCCCTCCCTACCCAGGCGGGACCAGAGGGCTGCCAAGGTGCCCTGGCTATCGCCAGGCCCCCATCTCTGATTTCACCCGTCCTCACCCTGACAAGCATCTGGCCTTCAGAGGGGGCCTGGCTGTAGGGGCTCAGGCAAGCACCAGGGGCAGGGAAAAGGCAGGCACACAGTCCCCCTTCACTGCCAGCAGACCCTTCCCACGTCAGGGGCCTCAGAGACACAGCCTCCTGCAGGCCCTCAAGAACAAAACTGCCCAGAGGAACGGCCCAGGGAGGCCAAGGGCTGCTCAGGTCACAGCTCTCAAGAGGCAGAACAGAGACAAGAGCCTCTATGTCCCCTCTGGGCCCCACTGCTGCCCCCTGCTCGCTCACAGCACACCGGGAGGGCCCCACTTGTGGCTGCCATGCTCCCCTATATCCTGGTTACTGCCCCTGACCCTGAAATCTACTCTGGATTCTCCCACTTGGAAGGGGAGCTCCTGGAAGACAAGGCCCATGTCAGGTCCACGCAGCAGGGGCCATGTGCACAGCCACGGGCACAGTGCAGAGGCCACACGGGGAACCTGCCAGATCAATTTCCTCCCTTCCCTTCTCCCATCAGTCCCTGCCTCCTACCTCCCCCAAAACACTGGATGGACGAGATGTGGGCCACAGC